GGATTCATCCTCCCCAGGAATAAAATATATTCTATTACTTAACATGTTGAGAAATGTACATGCCTGAACCTTGGGTCTGGTGCTCTGCTAACATACACCATGTACACAGGGAGAATATCTCAGTTTCTGCACAAAGTCCACTTTACAATTCACCACCAGGAATAGGAATTATCATTTCTAAACACCCACTATGTGTCAGGCAGCTCTGTCAACCACTTCATATCCACTTAATTCCTTGTAGTAATCTAGCAAAGTAGTTGTGTTGTTCCTTTGACAGATGAGAAAACCCAGGGTCAGAGAGGTTATGGAACTTATCTGAGGTTACCCGGCTAAAAAGGGGTGAAAACATAACCTTCAATTATCACCTTCCGTACTGCTTACAGGTTAGAATCCAAACATGTTAGCGAAGCATGTCAGGCCTGCGCAAAGGGGCAGGCTACCCGTCCATCTTTCTTTCCTAGCCTGTGCTTCAGACCCCCTTGTTTTCACCCCAACAGCATGTCTAGTGGTGTCACATCTCTGTACCCTAACTCCTGCTGCTTCCTCAACCCCGCCAAGTAAATACTGCTCATCCTTCAAAGTTCAGTTAGAATGCAATGGTTACACACACACACACACACACACACACACACCTTTCTCTGATTCTCCCTACCTACAGACATGACACCTCTGTGGAACATTTATTTCATCCTTTTACTGCAGTCTATAAATGTCCCTGGTAACACTTCTCCAAGCACAGGGCCTAAAATATTTAGCTTTTGTCTCTCACTTGACCTAAGACAATTCACAAATACATGCAGGCCTCAAAAGTGTTTGTGGCAAAACAAAAAAGAAGAGAGAGAAAATGCTCCTAGCCAAGAATCTATTGTGAACAAGTACCATAAAAATCCTCACATCCTTTAAATCACATTATTACTTAACTAAATTAATTACATCCTGTAGTTCTACTCTGGGAATTCATCCTAAACAAGTAATTCAAGAGAAACAAATTAAAGGATAATATCATTAGAGACATGATTTGGACTATTACTGTAACTTAACTCTATTCACTTTTATATAACCATGAAAGAGTGTAATTTTGAAAACTACATGGAAATATTTGGTGAAATACAGCATGAAAACTGAATATCCAACAGAGTAGATATTGTAACTACAAAACTCTATAATATCAGTACATTCATTTACTCGACAAATACTGGGTTGGCCAAAAGGTTCCTTTGGGTTTTTCTGTAAGATGTTCTGGAGAAACTCAAATGAAATTTTTGGCCAATCCAGTATTTCTTGAGAGTTTCACGGGGCTAACATTGTATAGGGTCTGAGAAGCAGACCAATAAGCAACAAGACGATTTAGTAAAATTCATCGTACAGTTATATGGTAACAAGCATGATGGAGAAAAATAAAGCAGGCAAAGGGGATAAGGAGTGATTTGTAAGCAGCTGGTACTTAAATGAAGACAGCAGGGAAGACCTGCCTGAGTATGGTAATTGGAGTAAAAATCTGAACAAACTTATTCTCATGAGATATTACAAGGAAAAATGAAAAGTCATGCTGAGCTTATAGAATTAGGCAATTTCTTTTTTACACTTATGTAAAAATTTCATTTCTCAGATATTGTTTGATTTCAAAACTACTACCAAAAAAATCAATAAATCTTCCAAAGTTGTGCTAAATGCGAAAAGACCAAGCAAATAAACAAAAAGAACCTCTGCATTAGCAGATGTAAGCTATTACACATAGACTAAATAAACAAGGTCCTACTGTATAGCACAGAGAACTATATTCAATATCCTACTATAAATCATAATGAAAAAGAATATATAAAAACAGAATGTCTATATAAGTCACTATGCTACAAAGCATATACAGCAGAGACTGGCACAACACTGTAAATCAACTAAACTTCAATTTAAAAAAATTCAGTTGCTAGGATCCTAAATCTTAAATGTTCTCCATCCCAAAATAAATATGGCAACTATGTGAGGTGACAGATGTGCTAACTAATCTCATGATGAAAATCATTTTGTAATATGTACATATACAAAGTAGTACATCAAGCAATCATATTGTACACCTTAAACTCCCAGTGTTAGGTATCAGTTACAACTCAATAAAGCTGGAGGAAAAAAAGCAGACAAAAAAAAAAAAAGAACCTCCAAACCACTCAATGTACACGTGTGTGTCCCACTTTGAATACCACAGCTTTGCCAACCTCATCTGCACAATGTCTGCACTGCTGCTGCTGCTAAGTCACTTCAGTCGTGTCTGACTCTGTGTGACCCCACAGACATCAGCCCACCAGGCTCCCCCGCCCCTATGTCCCTTCAATTAAATCAGGAAGCTTCACTGCATCTCAAGCCTATTTTCAGAACTCATCTCACTTGAAACATCCACCCTTTACATATGCAAATCCTACTCTTTCTTCAAATCTCAACGCCTCTAGAAAGCTTCCAAAGAGTTAAGTTTTATGGATTATTCCATTTCTGCTCCCCTTGCCTTTGAACAACTGGGAGACAGACAAGTTTCCGGGGAAGCAGTGATTTTGCTGAGCCAGGTAGGAAGGTCAGGAATTAAGTTTGAGAACACACCGGAGAGAACATTTAATTCTGCTCCAGGTGGGGTAAGACACCCAGAAAACTTCAAAGAGGTGACGGTGGTTAAAAGTCATGGCAGGAACACAGGGAATATTATCCACAGGATGAACAAGCCTGAGCAAAGATGGAAAGAGCCATGAAAATAAAATTGCACGGTGCTTTAAGGGCACAGTTGAGCGAGAGGAGACCAAAAGCAATAAAACTGGGAAGAGTAGTCAGGCAGATATTGCCTTGAATGACAGCCTAAATCCCTTCCATTACAGTGGCGGTAATGCAGAGTCACTGAAGGCTTTAAACTGGAGTTATGCATTGATCTTCATTTTTTTAAAAGGTAACTCCGCCTTCAAAAGGGAAAGTGGCCTGGAAAAGAAAGGGGCCGCAGACAAGTTAATAGATGGCAGGCTTCCCCAGTGTTTATTAACTGGATGAGACTAGCAAGAAGAGACGATTTTTTGCAGGCTGTAGCACACAGTGGGTACCCAACTGTTCTCCAGTGGCTTGTGAATCAATTAGTTTTCTTTTTCAAGATCAGAAAACTTAAGAGTGGGAAGCAGAAGTAGCAGGGCTCCGGAGTCAAACTGGACTGAAGTCTAAGTCTGACGCTTACTGGTTGTGTGAACTTCAGCAAGTTACTTAATCGATTTGTGCCTCAGTTTCCCATTCTATCAAATGTAACATCGTGCGCCCCTCACAGGACGTAGAGGACCGATGATGACAGATTACACCGAGATGGACCGACACAGTGCCTGCCCCACAGTGAGTCCTCGTTAGGCATTAAGCACATTAGGCATTAAGCACAAAAGTACTCAGCACCTTCTCAAGTCATTTATTAAATCTCGGTCAATCACAGTTTTCTGTACGCCCTAGAGAAAGTTTTCGATATTAAGCTTTCCCCCCACATTTCCAGAGGTTAGTAATACTTCGTAGGATAACGGAAAACAGCTCTTTTTTTTTTTTTTTAAGGCAATGCCATTTAGAAACGGAAGAGCATTTCCCAGCAGGTTTTTAAAAGTCACTGCGGCCGCTCTTTGCAGAGCTATAATAGTCATTGTGTAACCTTAACTTGTAAATCGCATTCAAAATCAGAAATAAAAGTTAAAGCGTATCAGTCACGGAGCCACAAGATCCTGGACACGAATGCCACGCTCCGATCTCGCAGGGTATTTAGAAAATCGTCCCAGGTAAGAAGTTCTCCGGCGCACTATTACTTAAAAAAAAATCGCACAGACAGGAACGGTTAGCAAACTCTGCCCAGCGATCCGGAGCACGAGGTTGTGCAGTCCAGGGGCCGGCGACCGGGAAAGCGGGTTGGAGTCACCCTCCGGACAGCTCCGGGCTCGGGGGCGGCGGGACCTCGGCGCTTCTTCAGCAGCAGCGGCAGCGGTGGCGCCCGGGGCGGAGGGGGCGGGCGGGGGCCGCCTCCCCCGCGGGTCGGCCCCGCATTCCTGCCCAGGTCTATACTTAACCTCCGGCCCGCGCCCCGCGGCCGCCGCGCGCGCCGTGCACCGTATTAGGCAATGCCGGGAGAGCACCGCCCGGCTCCCCCGCCCCGCTCCATTCAAGCCCCGAGGCGCAGCGCCTGGCCGCCGCCCCGCCCCCGGCCTTCGGGAGCGCGCGCCGCGCGAGGGCCTGGCCGCCTGGCCTGGGAGCGGGGACGCGGGGGTCCTGGGAGCCCCTGGTTGCGATCTCTCGCCCCGCTATCGGGGAAACCTCGCGGACTGGGGAACCTCCTCATGGAAACGCCGGGGAAGTCTTGCTAGTGCACGGAGTCTAAACACACCTGGACTTGGCGTAGCCCTACCCCGCCCAAGACTTTTGTAAGATAAATTTCTGGATGTGGAGAGGGGCCTAGGTATCTTCCCGCCAAAGACTCATTCTTAAGAGATTCTGGGGAAGGAGCAACCACTTCACCCTGTTTCGCTTTTCACAGCCAGTGGAGCAGGTATTCAGGGGCGGGAGGTGCAGTCGGATCGCCACTGCTGCGTGGATTCCACTGGAGCCAGTGATTTAAGGGCCCTGATTGCAGTGCAGCGCGGAACACAGGATGTCAGGGGGAAACAGGACGTGACAAGGTATCAAAGGAGAAAAGTTTGAACAGAGGCAATCTATAGCTGTAAAGCTAACAAGAACCCTTCCCGCAGGAAAACATGGTATCCCACTGTTATCCACTCTCTCCCTAAAAACACACACACACAAACAAAAACCACTTCCTCCAGATACACATGCTCCTGACAGCTCTTCCTCTTTCCTCCTAAAGCACACAGTTAAGAAGACAGGCTCTGGAGTCAGATTACTGAAATTCAACCTCCAAATTCCTGGCTCCACCAGTCTTAGTCGCTGTGTGAACTTGGGCAACTAAAATCTCTTCATACCTCAATTTCCTCAGTGAGAATAAATTTAAAACCTACCTCGTGGGGTTGTTGTGAGATTTAAGTGAAATCGTTCATGTAAACCACTCACAGCCCTGACAGTTTGAGTCACCCAAAATCAGTGTTATCACTGTTGGGACAACTCCCGGATCAGTTCATCCAATGAAAAAAATGCTGCACGCGCCAAGGAAACCGATCTGCTTGTTAGGTCATTCTTGGCTTCCCTGCTGGCTCAGTGGTAAAGAATCTGCCTGCAATGCAGTAGACGCAGGAGGCCTGGGTTCAATTCCTGGGTGGGAAAATCCCCTGGAGAAGGAAATGACAACTGACTCCAGAATTCTCCCCAGGAAAACCCCATGGACAGAGGCACCTGGTGGGCTATAGTCCATGGGGTCGCAAGAGTCCAACAGGACGGACTGAACACGCTCTCCAGCTACCTGGAATGTGAGCCAGACCTCAGGGAGGGGAGGAGCCAGAGAGACCTGTTCCATGCTGAGCTTTGCTCTGGGTTCTGGCCGCCCAAGTGGCCTGATAGAGGAAACTTAGACATAATTGAGGAAGACTTTGCAACAGGGGAGGGGGAGTCTGAGGTGTGCCTGGAGAAGAAATATCGGCTGAAAATTGTCCGAGTTTGATGAAAACTATGAACTAGTGTGCAGAGTACATCATGAGAAACCCTGGGCTGGAAGAAGCACAAGCTGGAATCAAGATTGCTGGGAGAAATATCAATAACCTCAGATATGCAGATGACACCACCCTTAAACTCCAATACTTCAGCCACCTGATGCAAAGAGCTGACTCATTTGAAAAGACCCTGATGCTGGGAAAGATTGAGGGCAGGAGAAGGGGACGACAGAGGATGAGATAGTTGGATGGTATCACCGACTCAATGCACATGGGTTTGGGTGGACTCCAGGAGTTGGTGATGGACAGGGAGGCCTGGCGTGCTGCAGTTCATGGAGTTGCAAAGTCGGACACGACTGAGCGACTGAACTGAAATGAATGAACTAGTGTTTTTAAAGGTATTTACATTGGAAAAGAATTAAGTAAAACTATTCAACATTGTATTATTAGAAAAACCTAAGGAATCCACACCCAAAAAAACTATTGGAACTAGTTGTAGGTTACAAGGTCAATGATACAAAAATCAGTAAATTGAAATTTAGAGTAAAACTATATAATACTTATCAGCATCCAAAACTATGAAATATAGAGTGATAAATTCAACAAGACACATGCAAGACCTGTACCCTGAACATGATAAATCACAATTAAGAGAAAGTAAAGACCTAATAAATAAGTATTACAGCTTCATGAATTGGAACTCAGATTGTTAAACTGTCAGTTCTTTGCAGATTCCAGCAGAATATTTCTTTAATTTGACAAAATAACTCTAAAATTTATACATAAATGTAGGAAAAACAAAGTTGGAACATGCGCATACCTCTTTTCAAAACTTAGTATAAAACTACAATTTCCAGGACAGTGTGATAGGCACAAGGTTAGATATATAGATCAATGAATAAAGTCCAGACCCCATACATATAGTCAACTGGTTTTCAACAAAGATGCAAAGCTAATTCTTTTTAACAAACAATGTTGAAACAACTAGATACCACATTTTTAAAAAAAAGGAAATGCTTGACCCTTACCTTACATTTTAGACAAATATTAATTTGATGTGGGTCATAGACCTAAACATAAGAGGTAAATCTCTAAACTTCTAGAAGGAAACAGCAGAATCTTCGTGACCTTGGGGAAGGCAAAGATTTCTTAGATACAACAACCAAAAAAAAAAAAAATAAAAAAACAGCATTAATCATAAGAAATATGATTGAACTTCATCAAAATGTAAAACTTCTCTTATCCCAAAGATACCATAAAAAAGTGAAAATATTCACAATATATGTATCTGACAAGGAACGTGTATCCAGAATATATTAAGAATCCTTATAACTCAAGAATACAATAACACTTTTTTAAATTAGCAAAATATTTGAATAGACACATCATAAAGAACATATGGAAATAATAGCACAAGCAAAAATGTTCAATCTTTTTTGTCATTTGGGAAATGCAAATTAAACCCACAATAAGACATCACTACATCTAGTATTTTTAAAGGTTGTCAAGGATGCAGAGCAATTGAAATTCTCATTTATGGCTAAAGAGAATACTACTTTGGAAAACAAATTGACAATTTCTTTAAAAGGTCAACATACACTGACCATATGACCCAGCAATTTCATTCCTAGGTATTTAACCAAGAGAATGAAAATAGGTCTGTACAAAGACTTGGACACCAATGTTCATAGCAGCTTTGTTCATAGTAACCTCAAACTGAAAATCATCAATGTGTCCATCAATATGTGAATGAATAAACAAACTGTAGTATGTTCACACAACGGACTATAACTCAGCAATGAAAAGGAACAAACTACTGTACATGCAACATGAATGAATCTCATAAACTCTACACTGAGCAAAATCAGATAGAAAGACTGCATAGTAGGTAATTACATTTATATGAAACTAGAAAAGGAAAATCTAAATCTAAAAATCTACAGTGACAAGAAACAGGAAAGTTGTTGCCTGGTGCTGGGGATGTGTACAAAGAAAAGAGACAGAATAGACACAGGAATCCTTCTGGAGCAATGTAAGTGCTCTGTTTGTTGACTGTGGTTTTACACAGGTGTATATATGTGGTAAAACTCATCAGAGCAAACACATAAAGCAGATGTATTTTATGTATATAAATTATTACTTATAGTTGATTTTAAAGTGTCCTAAATAAGAAATATTTTAAAGTGTAACATTTACAATATTGATATGTTTAGCATAAAACCCAAATTTTGTGGGAGAATGGGTTTGTGTATTAATAGTTAATATTTTTTCCTCCAATTGTTAACTTTAAAACATTGAACATGACATGAGATCTAACTGATTTTCGGAATGGCCGTATGTTTTTACAAAGTTGAATGTAACATTTTTGGGGAAAAAAAAACACCAACTTTGAAATATCCTAAGAATACATAACATGCCAACAGACTTCTAGAACTCTCCCTTTAAGAGTGACGTATATACACTATTGATACTATGGCTCAGTGGTAAAGTATCTGCCTGCCAATGCAGTAGATGCAGGTTAGATCCCTGGATCAGGAAGATCCCAGAGAAGGAAATGGCAACCACTCCAGTATTCTTGCCTAGGAAATCCCATGGACAGTGGGAGCCTGGCAGGCTAGTCTATGAGGTCATAAAGAGTCAGATACGACTTAGCCACTGAAGAACAGCAACAATACAAGATAGATAACTAATAAGAACCTACTGTATAGCTCAGGTAATAATTCTACTCAGGGTTCTATGGTGACCTAAAGGGAAGGAAATCCAAAAAAGTGTGGATAAATGTGTACCTGTAGCTAATTCACTTTGCTGTACAGTAGAAACTAACAAAACATTGTAAAGCAACTACACTCCAATAAAAGTTAGTTTAAAAAATAAATAAAACTGTCCCTTTAAAAGGTAGATAAGTTATACTGTGTACAAATAGGTATCAAAACAGTACTTTTTAGTGGATAAGAAAATTATACAAACAAATGTATGCCAAGATAATGTTAGAAACATACCACCTCTCGTGCGTCAGGCACTTCCATTGATTTAATCCATATCTTTACAGATAGGTGTTATTATCTACATTTTCAAATGAGGTCATTGAAGTCTGGAGGGATTGAGAAACTTGCCCAAGGTCACAAGCTAACAAGTAGAGCATTTGATGTTCTGCCTGACACCAAAGTCTGTATTCTATCATCAAATGCAGAGTAAAAGACACTTGAAAAGTGAATCGCACAGAGTTACAGGAGTAACTTGTTTGGGGGCTCAGAAAAGGAATATCTCAGAAATATCTTCATGCAAGATATTACTTTTGAATACTTGAAGAATGAGTCTGATTCCAACAGACAGCTTGCAAGAGGATCTTGCAGGCTGGGGGCTCACCAGGAACATGCGGGCAGGAAAAACAAAGAAACTTGAGGAGAAGTGATTTGTGCCATTTGACTGTCTTAAAAGAACCAAGAGAAAGGTAGTATAGAAATCCACTGAAAACCATTCTATTTTAAAAGGCAATAGTGAATTTCTGAAGACTTAAGAGAAGGAAAATCATATTAAAGAAGCCTCTTTTCCAAGGTTAATTTGGCAGCAGTGTAGTGAATGCTGAAGGCATGCAGGAAAGGAGATACTTCAGTCTAAAAAGTAATAAAGCCCCAGAACTAGGTCAGTGGTCAACTGCAGCATAAACTGGGGAATGAATGAGGAAATATTCTGAGACACAGCAGGGTCCAAACAAAAGCTTTTATTTGCTTATTTGTTGAAGGAAAGGTGCCATTAAGATGTGAAGAGACTGTCTTTGTGAAATAGGTTACTTCATGAAGCAAGATGTGAGAGGATAAGCAATTAAGAAGATACATGGAGGAATTCAGCTTCAAAAAGAGAAAGGACACTTCTTTCTCAGACAGGAATAAAGGAAATGGAGGTGGAGATATTTTGAGGCAAGGAAAAAGAAAGTTGAGGTGGGAGCCTAATTTAATGATATTTGCAGCAACAAGGATGGACCTAGAGACTGTCATGCTGAGTGAATTAAGCCAGAAAGAGGAGAAATATCATATGACATCGTCTCTTATACGTGGAATCTAATAAGAGATGATACAAATGAACTTAGAAAACACAGACTCACAGACTTACAGAACAAACTTATGGTTGCCCGTGGGGAAGGATGCAGGGAAGGGATAGTTGGGGAGTTGGGGATGGACATGTCCACACTGCTATATTTAAAATGAAAAAACCAACAGGTCCTACTGTATAGCACAAGGAACTCTGCTCAATGTTATGTGGCAGCCTGGATGGGAAGAGAGTTTGGGGGAGAATGGATACAAGTATATGTATGGCTGAGTCCCTTTGTTGTTCACCTGAGACTGTCACAACATTGTTAATCGGTTATACTCCAACATAAAAAGTTTAAAAAGAATAAAATAAAGGGATCCCCAAAGCAAAGAAGATTTGAAATAGCATTTTACATA